GAATAGTCAGTCTGGAGTTTATTTATTTATTTGTTTTAAATGAAGAGAGGCAAAAAAAAGAATCAGTAAAATACAATTTTACTGGTTCATTTCCAGGACTGGGCTGCTGTTATATAACAAAGCACACAAAATATTTTGTTTTTTCCAAAATTCATTTGTCTCCTAAGCCGTTTGGTCCTTAGGCTAAGAACAGGAGAGACACTGAGTCTTTGCAGCCTGGAGAACCATTTACGCTGTTCTTTGTAGCAACCTTTTCCATACTTGAAATAATTATCCTGACTCTCCTCAATTATTTCTTCACTACATTAAACAAATCCGTATCTTTTGATCTTTCCTCCCTGTTCATGCCAGGACAGCTTTTATGCAAAGGTGCAAACCACTGCATACATTAAACATGTATTGCAAGCTCTAGGCTTTCCAGGGGCATTAACCTGAGGTGGTAATGCCTGGCGCAGATTGCACAAAGCAGCTCATTTTAGCTGTTCCCATAGGGTGCCATACGATGTGTAATGTGCTTGATCTCATCTGATCTGTTTCTACCACAGAACAGATTAAAGGAAAAAACCCAAAACAACAGAGGCTGGGGTATCAGAAAAAAAAAATAAAATAGAGATGTAGATTCCTTTTGTGTGATAGAATCACAGAATGATTTGGGTTGAAAGGGACCTTAAAGCTCCTCCAGTTCCAACCCCCTGACATGGGCAGGGACACCTTCCACTAGACCAGGTTGGTCCAAGCCTCGTCCAACCTGGCCTTGAACACTGCCAGGGATGGGGCAGCCACAGCTTCTCTGTGCAACCTGTGCCAGCACCTCAGTACCCTCACAGGGAAGAACTTCTTCCTAATATCTGACCTAAATTTCCCCTCTGTCAATTTAAAGCTGTTCCCACTTGTCCTGTCACTACCTGTCCTTGTAAAAAGTCCCTGTCCACACTTCTCGTAGTCCCCCTTTAGGTACTGGAAACTGCTCTAAGGTCTCCCCTGAGCCTCCAAGATTGTTAAATGTTGATTGCTGAGTCCTTATTAAAACAAGCCTCACAGGACAATGTCCCCATAGAATGTCTTCTCACAACTAAGGAGCCTGGGATCCATGAAAAGCAGCATCACTTTGTGCTTTACTTAACATCCAACACTTCTGCCGCACCCCAAGCAGGCAGATAGAACTGGGTCTTACTTGGAAGAGCTTCGATTAGATCAAGACACAGGCCCCTGGCACAGTGGCTTCCTCACTGCCTCAAGGCTGATGCTTGGGTAAGTGGAGGGTACATATGGCCAGGGAGAGGATGGGCACAAAGAAAGAAACGTGTGACTGAGCAAGGGCAGGGGAGCCTGCACAGGAAAGTGCAATATTAAGAGGCACGGAAGCCTGTGAAGTCTGGGGAGCCACATGAAAAGCAGGTGCCTGCCCAGGCACGTGGCTATCAGAGAAAGGATGGGAGGCGCAGCGCCATAATTACGCATCATCTTGTGACTGCTGCGAGTGCTGCCAAGAGCCAGCGAGAGAGCTGACTGCTTTCTTAAGACAAGTTGCAGAGAGCCACAAAGGGAAAGCAAGTGAATCAGCAAGGGGCACGTCAGTCTCCAAGCCGAAACTGACACACACACCACTGGTGTGGTGCAGAGTTATGTCAGGGTAAAGCTGATGTGCTGAGAGATGCTCCTTTGTTTGTAAACACACCAGAGACAACCAGGGTACTGTGGAAAGTCATTTTATTTCAGAATTTCACGCACTCTGTCACAGACCATGCACTTAAGACTTTCCCCTTTGCAAACCTGCAGCCTCCAGGCCTGGAAGAGATGGGGAATCATCTGTTCATTTCTCATTGCAAGTACCCACATGCTAACTAAGAGTGAGGGCCCTGATGGCAGCTCACCAGGAGGCAGAAAGCAGCCTCTTTCTTTCATAATTGCTTTTAAACGTGCAGGAAAAGAAATCCATCTGACTTGAAGGATTAGCAATGGAGCTCAGCAACACTGAAACCCCACAGCTAAGCAAATTGGTCCTTACCCAATGGTTAAAGGGAACAAAACGACAATCTCTTGAGATCCCAGGCAGCAACACAGGCTCTGGGCCTCTTACAATCAATTTGTCTCCGAGCAGCTCTGCCAGGAAGGTGGCTGGGAGCTGCCCTCTTCACATTCATCTTTAGGTCCTCCTGCTCTGTGCTATAGCTTTGACTAGGAAGGAGCCTACCTATAGGAGAGACAGCCATCCAGGCTGTACATCAACACATGTACTGCGTTTAATACTGAAAGGTGCTGGTTCGAAGGACGCTGCAACAGTCTCCGGAAGATTTACCCTACTCCTTCTTCCCGGCCTCTGTTGCCCCTTATGCCTGACCCCACTCTTTATACACTCCTAGTCGCAGTGTTCCTGTAACACATTACATCTTTGGCCTCTGCTGAGACTGCCACTGCCAGGGCAGCTATTGCCCACCCACTGGGGTGGCTGCCTGTAGGAAGTGAGCATTTGCCTCCCGAGAACAGGCTTGTGGCTAGCTCAGAGGAGGGCACAACTGAAGGGAAGAACTGATGGAAGTGATTCAAGTGAAGTGGAGCAAAGGCTACAAAAAAGGCAAGAAGGCAGCTTCAGTCTCCATTTGATACACAAATTGAGCTCAATAGCAGCAAGAAATGGCCATAAAATATTAATTCATTAGGTTGCCAGGAAGAATAAAAAGCATTCATGTGTAAAAAATTCTATATACAGATATGTACGCGACACAAGCCAGCTCAGACAGTGGCTCCCTCCTGTTTATGTCTCTCCTTTCTTTGTATGTATAGTTTTGATCATTCCAAATCATGTTGCTGCTCAACAACATTCTGAGTGAAGACCGTGGTATTGGAGCCAGCACCAAGTGAGGGGTGAGATGACATTGAAGAAATGAACTTACAGGGAACTCCTGACAACCCAGATATTTTAATATTTTTGTTGACCTTCAAGTAATTAAAAGAAGGGTGAATTTCCCCCAGTAGCCTATAGGCCCCAAATCTCATCTGTCTGCTCTTAGGCTAGGAAGGTTGACATCAGAAAGGCAGTGGAGGGCAGGGAAAGGAAGAGGGGAAGAAAATCTGGGAACCAGAGTGAAGAGCAATCAACAGCTGACCAACACTGACTGCTGCGAAACTTACAAAACACAAAATCATACAAATGGAATTTGTGTTAACCTTTTATACACTTACAGACTTTATATACACACACAGACTTCAAAGTAGGCATCTGGCAGTCTAGAAAATACCAGTACCCTAAGGATTAAATAATTTAAAATGCAACATTGTGTTATCACTGTATAGGGAATACTATCTGACACACTGGCTAAAATGGACGGATTGTCCACGGAAAGATGCTCCCTCCCTCATCTCACCAGCATTGCCTCTAAAAAGAAATCAAGGACTAAAGACTCCCCTCTGTGGTTCCACTCCTGAAACTCACCTTAAAACTTCTTTGTCAAGGGGGGAAGCCCTAAGAGGAAGGGAAGAAAAAAGGATTCCTGCTCCCTCCAAACTGCTGGTGCAGTACCTCTCTCCATTGACGAGGCAGGCTGGACAACAAGGGAGAAAAAGGTGCTAAAGCTGGGAAAAGGTATGTTTCTGCAACGGTAACTGGTCTTTTGAGAGAGAGCCCCAGGCTCGGGAGGACACCCTCTCTCCCCCTTTTTGAAGTCAGGAGGCCAGGCGGCTTGAAGAAGAGTACAGGGAGTCTATGTGGCTAGTTTAGGAGAGACCAGCAGTGCAGCAGCTGCCCCCTGAAACCTGTACCTCAGTTAGCAGCGGATGGGAGGGCAGCTAAAGGAGAACAGCTTGACAGCAGCTGTAAGCAGGAGTGGGCAGAACTGCATTACCAACAGGTCCAAACAGAACAGGAAAGTGTGCCCTCACCAGCTTTCTAAGAGTAATTGTAAACTGGGAGCACTGGAAAGTCAGCACATGGGAATGAGGAAGGGGATGGACAGCCTCAGTTCTGAGGTGGCTGGGGAGGGGACTAAAACACACACTGAGAGTAGATGGCAAAGACAACATATCTCCAAATGCCATCTCTGCATATGTACCCTAATAACAGTGTAGGGGACAGAACCTTGCTGATGACACCAGTTCAGTCCTATCACCTTCAGACTTAAGGCTGGTGAGAATCTGGCTTACATGTGCTTATTACAGAGTCCTTTGAGGCACACAGTCCTGCTTCCACCCTCTATAAACCAGAACAGCCATAAGCTCTTGGGGAAAAGATGAAAAAAATAATCCCTGTTCCCATGCGTCTCTCCCACCCCTCCCCCATGATCAGCCTCTCTTCCTCTAGGCCAGAGACATCTAAGGAGCTGCCCTGTTCTCCATTCTCCAGGGCCATTCCCACCAGCAACATCCAGCAGATCTGGCTAGGCAGGAATGGCAAGCCCTGCTCCTTTGGCCTCGTCACATAGCCAGATCACAAAGGCTTCTTCCTCCCTTATGATGGCTTCAGTGAGAACTGCCCATACTGAAGGCTGTGTTGCAGCAGACTGGACAAGCCTCAGCCCTTACTCCTGCCAAGAATGAGAAGGCTCTTCAGGAGCGTTCTCCTATTCCAAACTCTACAGCCCTAAATACTGCCAGTGTCATCATTATCCCCTCAGAAATACAAAAAACACCCCTATCCAAAACATCTCCCTCAGTCTGCCCTGCATGACTGGGTCAAAGGGACCAAAAAAAGACTTAAAATAAAATAATGAGGAGACAGTGTGGTACAGCAGGGAAAAAGAAACATGGGGCAAAGTCGGGCTGGAGGAAAGGACCTCAATGCAAGTCTGCTGAAATTGTCACTGGATTTACCAGCCCAGTTCCACCTTCTTCAGACCAAAATGGACTCAAATGCAGTAACTGTACTACAAGAAAAAGAAGTGCATAGTTTGGTTTATTTTTTTGGTAGACACTGAAAACATTGGCAGAATTGATGTGAAGATCTTAGAGCTGCAGTTTCAGCTCTTTTCCCTAGCTAATGGGTACCTGTTGGGGCAGAGATGGTGGAAATGGACCAGTAGCACCAAGAAATTCAGTGGGAGCACCAACTCCACAGCAGGAAATAATAATGAACCAAAAGGAAGGGGGGGAGGGAGGGAGGGAAAAGAGAGAGAAAGAGAGACAGAGGTGGAAGAGACGTATTTTGTAGTAATCAAAGTCCATTGTAGCTAAACCCCATCAACACTTCTCTAGGTAAGGCCCCATTATGTCTGCAGCAACACCTCTGGCTCTGACAGAGAGCTGTAGAGGGTATAGCCCAACTCATCCACTTCCTCGGGGGTGAGCTCTGAAAACAAGTTCACCTTGGGGTTCAGAGCACTAGGGAGGACTCCCGCCTCCAAGTATCGGATCAACCCCTTCAGCGTCTGCAAGAAGCGATCAGCCAGCATGTCCTGGGACCAGTCGGACTCTTCTTGGCATAGGTGCAGGATGACATTGGTGAGCTGGCTGGCAGTGAGGTGACCCAGGGCTGGGTTTGACTTGGATACTGCTTTCAAGATCTTCAGGCACAAACAACGGCAGCCAGAATCACACTGGTCCAGGGCCCGGAGCGGCTGCGAGGCCCGGGGGGCGAGCCGTTTCTGCCGGCCGCAGGCTCAGTCGCCACAAATTGTCATTCTGGGCTAATCGATGGGGTTTGGCCACAAGGATGATGTCACCCAAAGTCAGGGATGGAAGGAAGTCGATATAAAGATGCCGTTCTGGATCATACTGGACTTCCAGTGTCAAATCTGCTGGGGGAGCTGCTGGACGGATCACGTAATCCAAGAGAGTTCCAATTGCTGGCCAGTTGATTGAGCCAGCTACAACTTTCTCAAAGGTGTCTGCTACAGTTTTGGGGGAAAGGTAACCCCCTACCACACAGCGGTCCCAGTAGCTGCTTCCACGTGGAAAGTACTCTGGGTTTTCCCGACGCACCAAGTAGAAGCCAGGAATGTTCATGATAGTGTCCTCCCCGGGGATGCACGACCACAGGTTCTGCTCCAGCATCAGAGGCACAATGAGCTGGATGTGGTCAGCTGTCACTACCTTTCACAAGAGAGAAAAGTCGGTAAGAACAAGCTGTCCCTCTCCACACTCAGTTTTATTCACCGTCTTTAGATAGCCTTCTGTTCAAAAGAACCTTCTGTTCAAAGGAACCTGGAATAAGGATTCAGCTGTCTCAGTCTCCTCTCTGTGTGGGCTTCGCTGCCTCCTTTTGTCAAAGGACATTGTGAAGGACTATTTCCCATGATCAGTGGGATAACTCCAAGGTAAAACCCAAGCTAGTGTTTATACGATACGTCTTATTTAGAGATCTTTAAATACTTCAGGATCTAACATGAACTGCATATAGATGACTCCTTTTGCCTCCTATTGCTCTAAGTCCACTCCTTGGATGTGAGATGCAGCTGGCCCAGGGCACAGCAGCACCACGTGATAATTTAAAACAGGAAGCAGAGTATAAAGTTTCTAGACAAACTTAAAATTTGCCATGGTTTAATTATCCCACTGTACAACTAGGAACTGCCCTCGCCTGGTCTGCCACATTGTTTGGAAAAAGGTCATTAAAGATCTCTTTTCACCAATGTGATTAAGACTCCGGCTCTAAGTTTCACTGGACCCTTGACACTCCATTCCAGAGCTCTGACTCAAACAAAAAAGTGTGCCTCTGAATCACTCACTATAGCTATGACATCTTCCCATCAGAGAGATATGCAGCAGGGACTGCTGTCAAATCCACACAATCATGCATTAAAAAGAGTAGGGAAAACCTACATTAATACACAGGAGTTCTAGGGGAATATCATGTATGTGGAAGGAGTCAGAAGGCACTGAGAGAAAACAGAGGTCTACCAGAGAAACAGCAAGAAACAAACAGCTGAAGGGAGAGACAGAGAGGAAGGTAAGAAGGGCTGAGATAATCCAGAGAAATAAACCATCAGAAAGCAAATGCTTTGCCAATGGCACTGGAGCATCCTGGTCACGCCTGTTCAAACAGTACTGCAGAAATAAACGCCTGGCTCCACTGTGGGAAAGGCGACACCAGGAGCCTTATTACAGAGGAATGCTGTGCTGAGCCAGCACTGCCAAAAGGGAAGCCTGAGATGCCCCTGCCTCGTCAGCCTTCTGGATAATGACCCGTCATGCGGCCCCAGGAATTACCTGCAGATCATCATAGAGGCTGCCGCTGAGGTACATGTCACGCAGGGGCATGTCCGGCAGCTTGGCACGTAGGAAGCTGCGCAGCTCCGCACAGATATCCACAGCTGCTTGCTTGGCCCGGGCCTGCTCATCCGCTGGGATAGCCACCTTCTTTCGGTAATAAGCAAAAAGCTTTTCTTGCAGAGACAGGCGAAGGCGAGATTTTTCCAGCTCCACTTGACTCCTTTTGGCAGATGGCTTGGGCTTTGTTGGTCGAAAAAAGTCTGCAAGACAGAAGGAAAACTATTGATCCTCTGCAGTGTTACACCATGAAATGATCTGCAGAAGAAAATCTGCAGCACGGAGGTGCAGACTCCGAGGTCTCAAAAAGCTTTCATCAGACATTTTGCATGCTTTCCACAGGTACCAGTCAAAATGGAGGTGCTGAGAAACTTCTAAAGATACTACTACAAGTAACAAACCGGATGAAAACAAGTTACTAGATTTGGAATTTAGAACAAGACTAAAATTACTCTCATGTACACGATGTTAATGGCTATGTGGGCAGGACCCTAGTTCAATTACATCAAAAATTCAGCACTGTTACCAGTTCAGAAGCTCTCAGCATGATGCCAGGCCAGTGGATGAGACACTCTTCAACAACCACCATGATCTCATTAAGTTTTTAACATTATAATGGATTCTTACAGATTATAAGCAAAACCCAGTCCTGACCAGGGTATAAGATCAGAGAAGATCGCGCCACCGTGTAATAATATAGTTGTTAGGAGTTTGATCAACGGTTATCAGGATGATGAGGCAACAGACCTTGGGGCCAGCAGAGCTCAGGCAGTCATAGCCCCAAACTCAAACTTCCCTCATGCTTTCCATGACTGAAGAACAGAGAGCCCACTCTTAAGCACAATACAATGCTTCATGCTGCCGCCTGCATTATTAAGCAGTGCCTAAGGTGCACACATTCTCTAAGCCTCTTTTCTTCTGTCTAGTTTCCTAAAGAAGTAAGTCAGTGTTTCCATCTATCTTTCAGAATTCTTTTAATATGGACCAAGAGTTTCAGAAGTTATCAATGAGAATTACAGATCTAAGAGGCCGTTGGAAGGGCTGTGGTACCTAACAGGTGCAGGAGAACCCCCCCAGGTCAGTGGCCCCATTAAGGCAATCAGCTGTCGCACAGTTGTCTGGCAAGAGGCATTTGGTCACGCAGCACATGCAGAATGGCTGACCAAGCTGCACACAAGCACATCTTGCCCAACCTCAGCAGCTGCTGTCTCTTGTCCCACTGGAGTCTTTGGACAGATCTGAGGTTTTGTCTGAAAAGGAAATGGCTCACAAAACCACAGGGAACCAGACTTCATTGCCTGTTCATGAAACAAAAATCCCTTATTTTTTCATTTAAGTTATTTTTAAGTCAAGTATGCAAGACATCACCATCAATAGTTGTATTCCTCAATCCTCATCTTTGGGGATTCTAATCAAATGATCTAGACCCCATTTAACACAGCTGCCTAGTTCTGCATAATCCTCAGCAGAAAATCCATTGTCATCCTGAAGCTGACTTTCTTGCAGAGCATCTGGAAATCAAGTTAAAAGCTTGATCCTAATTTTTATTTTAAATCTCCAAGTATAAATCTCCTGAAGCAACCAGGGATAGTAAATAAAATCAGTAAGAAAAACAAGCAAACACATATAACAAACACTGAGAGACTCTGAATTACGTATTATTAATTATCTATATTGAAATATATATAGTATTACTTATTACTACTTACAGAATGAGGATTGCAGGTCACTTTTCATAGCCTGTTGAAGACTAACTTAGTGATAAACAGCACTAAACAGGCAAACAGCATTACAGAAATTATTAGAAAACTGCTAGAAATAATATAGAAAATAATGTTATAAAATGCTAGTACATTCACGATTTGCATATTTCCCTCTTAAAATAACCCACAAACAAACTGGAATGGTCCAAAACAAAGCAACAAAGAGCTTGAAAGGAATGTTATGGCTTTTTATCAGGAAAGATTGCCCAGATAAGTATTCAGCTTGAAAGATAAAAAGACTGAGGGAGAATAAAGCTCTTTGAGGAATGAAGAATGCAAGCAGATGACTATTATTCACTACTTTCCAATATGACTTTAATTCTTGAACTTACCAACAGACCTGCTTAAAAGAAAAATATCAAAACCCCGAGCTAGACAGAGCATTCTCTTCCCTGCAGTCCTTTAAATGAATACAGGGTTTATGGGCCTGGATGACTCTGTAATGCAGGAGTATCCCCCTGTTCCTTACCTGTGTCTGCAGCTGAAGGATCAGTGGGAAGGGTCTGTAGGGAACGGCTGAGGCTAGTCTTCATGTCCTGGGTCAGTAAGCGTGAGGAGGAGCCCAGCCACTTTGGCTCTTCCCAGCTCCTCTTTCCCGACTGGCTCAAGCGAGTGGGACTGCTGGGAGCACTGATTGCCCGGTCGTACATCTAAAGCAACATCACCAGGAACAGTTTAAGTCATTAAGAGCCTATCACTTGCATTTTACCCAGCCTAGTGCCAGAATCCTGGGGCTTTCCCCATTCCTTCTTTCCAGCACCCCGGTACTCAGGTCCCACCCTGGTGGCCACATGCTCACCCGTTTGACAGCCAGCGTGGCGATGCCCAGCATGGCAGCTCCCCCCACACCCAGCACAAGCCGAGCATTGGACAGCACAAAGTCGATGGCTGTGCTGATGCCATTGTCATCCTTCTTCCCTTTGCGCTGGCCAGCGCCTGCCATCTCACCTGGAAGGAGCAGGAGCGTTAAACAAACAGGTCAAAACACATAACCCCAACAGTCCACTCCCTTCTCCACCCCATGTTCACAGCTCTTGGGCTCTCAGCACAGAGCCATAGGACAGGACCACCTAATTCTGCAGCCTCTTTAATTATCTTCCCTTGAAAAGCTCCTTATTCCCAGACACACCAGAACAGTATTGACCAAGCTCGGCAATGACAGCACTTCTTTTGGTTCCAGCTCTGTTTATAATCTGAAAAAGAATATCCCAGATTTGATGCTGGGCTTCTAATGATCGAAGCAAACAGACTACAAGGATGCTGCAGAGGGACTCTTCAGCAGGGACTGTAGTGATAGGACAAGGGGTAATGGGTTCAAACTTAAACAGGGGAAGTTCAGGTTACATCTAAGGAAGAAGTTCTTTACTGTGAGGGCGGTGAGGCACTGGAATGGGCTGCCCATAGAAGTGGTAAATGCTCCATCCCTGGCAGCGTTCAAGGCCAGGTTGGACACAACCTTGGGTGACATGGTCTAGTGTGAGGTGTCCCTGCCCATGGCAGGGCATTGGAACAAGATGATCTTAAGGTCCTTTCCAACCCAAATCATTCTATGTTTCTGTAATTGTGCAATCACGTAATGCTTTTTTAAAAAGAAAGTGGCACTTCAGCAATATTTTGCAGTAAAATCCTGTATATTATATAAAATTCTATGACCATTTGGGTCTTTTTAATTAGTGCTTCTCAAACAAAGCATGGTACTTTTTATGCCGATTTATTTTCTTAGTCTAATGCAGGTAGTTTTGCCTGCAGACAAGGCAATGCAAGGATGGTCAACTGCTTGTCTGTAACAAATCAGAAGCTTCAGAGCATCCGCTCCCAGAATCATTTGTTTGGACAATGAACATTAATGTTTTCTTACATGCATACTTTTGTTTTCTCCAGTTCCCACTTAACCGCACCTTGGTATTTAAAGAGTCTCCCTGGCCAACACCACATGTAAAACACACTTTGCCACCGCTATACCCATAGGTTGATCCTCAGTCAACTGACATGAAAACTCTTACAATCTGAATCAAGATCTGTTTCCTAAGTCAGTGCCAAAAGTTCAGACTCTGCCTGACTTGGGTGGTTTAAAACTGTTCTTAGGTCTTTCTAAGACCAAGCTACAACCTCGGGATGAATGAACAAGGAGGAACCAGGAACCCAGTCACTCTTCATCCCTAGGCACTTTCACAAAGGTAACTGTAATAACAGCATAAAGAACACGGTTGTATCGTTGTAAATGACCTACCTGTGACCTAATGCATTTGTAATGAGAACAGGAGAGCCCTCCTGCTATGCCTGTGAAGGCACCTTCCAGATTTCTTCAAGGCAATGGTGGGCAGGGAGTGCTAATCATCTCTTTTGGTTGGCAAGGGGATTTAGAAAGACGAGGACAGCGGGGCCAAAAAGAGCTATAGGGAATCTCTAGACCAGGCCCC